CCCAAGAAACGCCCTTTCTATGGAAAGTCTTCTGCGGGTAAAAGAATGTAAGGAAAAAGAGCAGCTGAAAGAGAAGAAGAACGCAATCAAAGACTTCAAGCACAACCTGCAAGACAGGCTGCTCAAATACAGGAAGAGACTTTGGAACAACGTAAAGTTAGACTTCGAGCTCAAGCTGAAAGGCAGGCTACTCAAAGACATCAAGAAACTGTTGAACAGCACAAAGCCAGTGTTCAGTCAGAATCATCAAGGCAAGATGGATATAGACAACAAGAAACTTCTGAACAACGTCAAACCAGACTTCAAGCACAAAAATTAAGACAAATAACTTACAGAGAGCAAGACACAGAGGAGCAACATGATGTACGACTTCAGGCTCAAAGAACAAGACAAGCTCAAACACGATCTAATTTCAAATAAAGCTTTGATTGATTTATGCTTTTTCATTTCTCGCATCACAGCTTTTGTCTACTTACTTAATAATTTGCTGAAAAAAATACCGATCTATACATTTCAAATCTAAATTTTCACGTGCAACGCCGGGTACTCAGCTAGTTTCTTATAAAAATGAAGTAGCTTGGCGAGAGAGGTTTATTTTTAACAATAGGTTAAAATGTTTGAGATGACGTAAGGTATTCATTCTTATAATCAAATTAAATATTGTTTTAATGTCATTGTGGGTTAATAAAACCTTAAATATGAACGCGGTACTTCAGTTTGTAAGTGTTGTTATTATTTCTTTTAACACCAAATTAAAGTGTTGAAACCGACGAAAGAAATTTATTTGTAACACTTCAAAATTTGCGTTCACAAATAACGTAATTATCCTTTCAAGTTGTAATCATAATATATTCTATATTGAAATGTTTAAAACTAATGAAATGTCATTAATCTTTAAAATTACTTTAAAAACGAAATAACTTTTCAGCTATATTCTAGGAAGTTATGAGTGAAGGCAAAAAATAACGTTTAATATGGCAACTACAACTATTTTATCCAGTGCAGACGAGGCCTTTCCACAATACCGGAGCTCATAAAGCCAGCTGAGATTCAAAAGATATAGTAGTGGTCTAGGCGCTATTCGTATCATCCAGAAGAACTTTTAATTTTATATTTAAAGTTTTTTGTGCACAATGAGAAGTTTCTTGAAATCTCTTCTATTACAGGTGAGAAATACTTCAAAACGGTAATAACATTTCCCAGTATTCTAAAGGAGCATTAGGTACATTATGGAGATTTATAGTACAAGAAAAATAAAATAAAATTGAATTCCAATGAAACTGCTAAAGAGCTTAAAAGAGCACTTGATTTAAAACAAACGTCATTTGAGTTGGAAACGGATTAGTCAAGATTTTCGCGATTTTACAAGTATCAGAATTTTCAGAAACTAATTGGTGATGGTATCGTAACACTTCTGATAGTTATTTCCTTCCTTTCCCAACTTCTCATTGTTATAATACAGAATCTGGGATTATCACATCATCACCAAAATTAATTAATCGTACGAGAAGTTCTTTGCTCCGAACATGATTACGCCTTTCGACTGACATATTAATAACGACAACCAACACCAAAGCCAAGGCACAATAAGCTGAAAGCTGTCTTGATTTTGATTGGTCAGCGTAACGTGGCCTTCGTGAGCAGAGGCGGATTCTGCTGTAACATTGAAGCGGCCCACTACAAAATCTATCTTTAGTTGACTCTTGGATATAAAAAGCACTCGTCGTTCTAGTGCATTCCTTATAAATACACTGATGGACAGCTCTGACCTTGGGGTCATATGATATGTGACACTTCTGTGCCTGTTAAACGATTCTGTCATTGCTCTCCTCCGGCATTTGATCTGAACCGTTTCACCGTGTCTTGACGGCTGGAAGTCGGCCACTGTCAGCTGCTATGCTTGTAACGTTTTAAACAAGACGTGCAGAGATTTAAGTTCGAATATAAGTTAGTTGGACGTAAGACAGCAGCGCGGTAGAAATGGCACTGGATACTGATCATCACCATTTCAGTCCTATGCCGCGTGAGCTGAGAAAGAACGCTGATAAATACGACGGACAAAACAATTTACTTTCCGCCAGTCCTAGTAGATTTTCTTCCCCAGATAACAACTATATATTGATGCCATCCGCAGGTACTGTGAGGTCGTTGAAATTTTCCATTGAAAATATTTTATCTCCAGACTTTGGTAGGGGGGCCAAGGAACGACTTAACACTTCTATCGATAACCCTTCTTCGGCCGGACCGAAGAGAGTGGTTATCATACCTCGAGGACCCCTAACCAAACATGTAGAGACGACTGTGCCCACTTTTCCAACCTCAAAAAAGAGGACCAGTATTGAGGGCACCTCACCTCCACCTCAGCAAAAACTCTGGCCAGCATGGGTCTTCTGTACCCGGTACTCAGACAGACCATCTTCAGGTGAGTTTTATATCTAACCTGTCGTGCATGTGTGTGTAGTCAGTCTCTGCGTGATGGCTCAGTGATAGACGTGAAGAAATTATTGATAAAACCTCTCAATTAGGCTAACAACTTCTGCTACGATATCCAGAAAAAAGTAAAGAAACGTGGATTCACTTTAATACTGTCTATATACTTCAGTGACATATGAAAGTTGCGGACTTATATTTACATATTTGCTCAGGCATGTGAGATTACTTATTACTGACTATTAGACCCAATAGAAGACGTTCCAGTTTCGTAATGCACGCAACTATTAAAAAACTTCTGTCGTCTTTTTTATATTATTTATGCAAGAGTATTCAATGTAAAAAAGGAAAAGTCTTTGAATAACTCGGGCACTAAGCAGATTGTTTTACAATCACAATCATACAGACATTCCAAATACAAAATTAAAATGTTTCGAATGTTTCCTCAAACAGTCTAACAAGTAGACATTGGGAGTGGTAATGTATCAACAGGAAAGTCCATCAGAGGGAAAATGGCAAGAGTTAATATACGTACTGTGAGAATTAAGTCGTTCTGTACGAAAATCTTGTGGCCTTAGTGCATAAAAATCATTAACACAATTTTTTGTTATAACATTTATATTCTGTGGTGTCGAGTTTTTTAAAACACAATGTATACATGATAGGTGAGGTAGCTTTTATACCTTTGATTTTATCGTATATTTATCAGTACAACAAATAGAGTGGGTCATAGCGAACCTTCCACTAAAAGAAAGCGACAAGACAAGTCACAATATGATTAAGCTGTGATCACTGAATCAGTGTCACGATAGAAATGTTCAAAGTGTCCAAACTACAAATCACAACATTATTAAGCAGTGATCACTGAATCAGTGTCACAATAGAAATGTTCAAAGTGTCCAAACTACAAGTCACAACATTATTAAGCAGTGATCACTGAATCAGTGTCACGATAGAAATGTTCAAAGTGTCTAAGTTACAATCACAAAATGATTAAGCTGTGCTCACTGAATAAGTGTAACGATAAAATGTTCAAAGTGTCCAAACTACAAATCACAACATTATTAAGCCGTGGTCGCTTAATCAATGTCATGATAGAAAAGTTCAAAGTGTCCTCATCCGTTATCAATACACGATAAATATCCTTAAGACGTCCCATTAACTGCAATGGAAATAGTATCTTTACTATCTGTATCGTGACGTTCGTTAAGGTCTAGCTTATGGGTGTGATATGATTAATATCACAACGTATTAGTTGAAACAAAGTTCAGATATTTTTACAGCGTAAATTCAGTCTAAGGCTTAAAGGTTTTGACATCTTTCGTACATCACACTAACCAGTTTATAACACGACAGAGTTGTTAACAAAGATACGTGTGTTAAGTTACCTGTATTGTACAACCTATAATTTAAAGACATCACCTCTTCGGAAACACTTTTAGCCTGTCTTCTAGCATAAACTTGACAGCAGAAGTTTCAGAGAATTTACAACGAAATGTGTGTTGGAGTTAAATTCCTTACTGCTTTTTTATCGTTATTAATATTCAAAGATATTGTTGCTGTAATGTTGTTTTAAAAAATCATTGTGCTGTAGTGCAAATATTTGTAGTGTCAATGAGCTCGAGTTAATGCTGTCGCACGCTCAAGACAACATGTTATAAGACGATTCTAATAAATTTAATAATTTACTTGATTGGGGCATATATATTCAAGTATTCTTCTACACTGGTTCAAGTTACCGTCGTTTTGCTGAAAAATGTCTAGGGATAATTTGATTATCGCTTGTGAGGTTAATGTTAATAAATGCAACGTTGTGAAACATTAGTTCCTTTACCAATGTTTAAACTAAGAAAAAAAAGTTTAGATTGTATTTAAAAAAATCGGTGTTTTCGTTGGCACAGTTTTTCTCGTCATCTATCATACCGTTACTGAAAAATATGCGTTTTGCAAAATATAAACTTTAAGAGTAAATTATTTATACGTTGCACTTTTATTTAGAAGTTTAATAATAAAAATAACCCAAAGGTAAGCGACTAAAGTTTCGGATGTGTTTTCACTGTGGATATTGTAGTATCTGAACAGTTGCACCTTGCAGGATTCGATCCCTAGTCAAACGAGGTGAGAAATATGTTTTAGGTTACTTAAGTTGTAGAAAGTACCTTATTAGTTAATCAGTTTATAAAACTGCTAATTTGTTCGTCATCTCAGGAGAAATAGCTGTTTGATGGATACCACAGAGTACATGAACAAATAATGTATGTGTAATACACACTTTTCATCACAGACAACATGAACAAATAATGTATGTATAATACACACTTTTCATCACAGACAACATGCACAAATAATGTATGTATAATACACACTTTTCATCACAGACAACATGAACAAATAATGTATGTATAATACACACTTTTCATCACAGACAACATGCACAAATAATGTATGTATAATACACGCTTTCCATCACAGACTACACGTATAAATGGTGTATGTATAATACCTATTTTTCATCACAGAATACATGTATAAATGGTGTATGTATAATAAGTTCAATCACAGACTACATGTATAAATGGTGTATGTATAATACTTTCCATCACAGACTACATGTATAAATGGTGTATGTATAATACTTTCCATCACAGACTACATGTATCAATGGTGTATGTATAATACTTTCCATCACAGACTACATGTATAAATGGTGTATGTATAACACTTTCCATCACAGACTACATGTATAAATGGTGTATGTATAATACTTTCCATCACAGACTACATGTATCAATGGTGTATGTATAATACCTATTTTTTATCACAGAATACACGTACAGTTGTAAAATATTTTCATAAGATTTCAAAATCAAAAGAGAAATAGCTGGTATTTAAGATGATCATAAATGATGTCGATCTTTATGATTAAGTTGGCAAGCATTGAGATCATATCCAACTTTAGGAACGGTGCTTATCATCACGAATCGTATAGTCAAGTGTTCAAATGCAGCTATGAATGGACATAATAATTTCTTTACTAAAATTCTGTTTTCACGTTATAGTGTCAAGAGTTGATGTGTTATAATTAATCTAAAACCTAGTTTTTTTTGGATTGCAGTTCCTGTTACTTTATGACTTAAGTCGCCTTAAGTTTGAATATAAAAGTTAGAGAGTAGCCATGACTTTCGAAAGGAATTTAGGTTTTATTAAGATTATTTGAAATACGTAAAGATTATGGTAAGGATTGGATAATATCGTTATTATATGCTTAGCGGTTTTTCGTTAATGACCTCAATAGATGCCAATTGCATAATGTGCTTTTTTGGAAGGTAATAATTTACTCATTTAGCTGATTAAGTAATAGCTTAATTAAATCTGAAGCCAAAAATAAAAAAAACTGCAAATGTACCATATTTCAGAGTTTATTTATCTCCCCCCCCCCTTCTGTGTGAAAAATCCTAAAACAAGACAGTCCATGTACATCGTCGGACAGTTTCCAGTTACCATATAAAAATTACGGTAATCGAGCTAACCAAATGGGGTGGTGGAGCTAACACACTCACACACACATAATGGATCATCTTTATGATAAAAAGTTTGTCTTATGCATATATTATAAAACTCAGAACAGTTACGATTTTCATACTTACTGTTAGCAGGAGGATGTTTAAATCCTCAGATTTCTTTAAAAAAAGCCAAGGATAATGAGGGTAGAAATGAAATAAGATTTTTTATGTCACTGGTCTTTATAAGAGATGGCAGTGAAAGGTTTTTAGCAAACCAAAAAAAACAAAAAACAATTACTCTATTACAAATAAGTGTGCATATTTTATCACGACTTCATTCTAAGAATAAAAAATGTGATTGGGGTGTGATTTTAGCACTAACCTCCCATGTTGGTAAAAGGTTTAAATGTCGTGAATGTACATATTTTAGGTGTATCAGTCAGTATTCCATATCCATTTCTTCTTCCCGATTTTACATAACAAGAATGTCGATTTTACACAAGTTCTGTTCACCATATTACAATGTGCAAGGAAATACAATAATACTGTGAAAAATTACTATTATTATGGCGTAGTAAGAACACACATCTTACACTTTATGCGTATATATTTCTATAAAACACAAGAACTATATTACCTGATAAATTGTTTTGTGTACAATTTTATAATTAGTTAAGCTGCAAGAAAGAAGTTTATTTTTTTAAAGTGTTAATAATGAAGTCGAAATGTGATGTTCTTCTTTTTATTATTTTAATGTGTGTTATGGCTGAATAAAAACCATTCAAAATTAATTTTTGCACTTATATATTCATATTAGGTGTTAAGAATTATATAATATCACAAAGTTGACAATATCCAAGAAGTTGTGAATGTATAATATATACTCCGTATAGTACATGTTGGAACATTACTATTTTGTGTGGGAGAATCCATATATTTAACATCTAAAATAATTTATTTTATCAAAAACGCTAATACTACTATAATTATCATAATATCCAAACCTAAACAATGTACTTCAGTGTCTGATATGGAAGCAGTTTCGATTTGTAAAACCGCGAGGCAATTATTACCAATATAATTACCAATTTATAGATTATTAATACTAATTAGACCGTCAATAGACCTATATACCAAGGAAATTAAATCTGGATTTGTAAAGTTAATTACATATTTATTTTCATAATAATAAAGATATATATTAGCGACACAACTAGAATAATTAGCTCCCATCGGTATGCCTACTATTTGTTTGAAAATTTACAAAAATAAATATAATTATTATAAAGACAAAAACTAAATATGTTTTTAATATTATTAACGGTAGAGCTTCGATTTTCTACTTTTATAGGTAGATCAATGAATTGATTTATTAAGGAATTGACCACCATTATCAAATCATTAAGTGGTATACTTGTAAATTATGTACTGAAATTGTATGTCTGAATTGTATTTGGTATTTGTGTTTTATTTTCTAAGGCTTTGAAAC